AGTCAGACCAGCATACCCATAGACAATACCTGTTTATCCCTTTAGTTTTGTAAAAAAAATAGACTTTTAACTACCTCAACGGGCGTGTATCCCTTTAGTCATGGACAAAAAAGCTATTCAATGACTTACTTTTTGGTGTTTTTCAAGCGTATGGCGATCTGACCTTAAATGGGTTTTGTACATGACTAAAGGGATATACACCTGTTGAGGTAGTTTAAAGTCTATTTTTTGTGCAAAACTAAAGGGATAAATGTAAATCTGAAGTCTTTCACAAGCATATTGCCAAACGACCCCCATGTAAAAGGGATGGACCCTATTCTTCCGTTTCAATTTGCATGTTTTTAAAACCAAAACAAGGCTTTGTTGGGCTGCTGTATAAAGCCTAGAACTCAACGCTATTTCTAACATTTTGAATTGAAAAATCTTCCTGGATGGAAGAGAAACGTCTTCAAACTTAAAAGCAAAGTCCAGTGGATTGATTTAAACTTTCTTTTTTTGGAATGTATTGACTATGGGTATGCTGGCCTGACAGGGTATTCTGGTCTGACAGGGTATGCTGATCTGACAGAGCACTGGCCAAAGGCATATAATGGGCTGCCTCGGTCCCCCAGTCAGGGCCCCGATTGTCCACCAGTTAGGGTGGAGTGAAAAGCATGCTGTAAACAAAGAATTCAAATTAAATAGAAGTGTTAATCGTTTATCTTCATCAGCCAATAAAAAGCAATGAAAAATCTAAATCAGATCAATATTTGGTTGGGCAATCCTGTCCAGCTGCACCTGCAGACAGTTTCTGAGGAAACTCAGCTGCTAGGTTGTTCAAAACAACTTAGCACAGATCATAGACCTTGTGAATGTAGACTTTCTCACATCCTTCTCTGCCTTTATCCCAGAAACACTCCATGATGTGGAGATCTGGGCTCTGTGGGAGCCATAGAACCACTTCTAGTCCTTCTTTTTCTTCTGTATGCTGATGATACTTCTAAATGACTTAGGCTGTTTGTTTGGGGGTCATTGTCCTCCTGCAGAGTGAATTTGGGGCCAATCGTATGCCTCCCTCATTATACTGCAGCATGGAGTTTTGCATGAAGTTTCTTAGGCTATTTCTCGGCTTTAACACCAGTAATCCTGACCAAATCTCCAACATTGTTTACAGAATTGTAGCCTTGGGGCATGCTTTGGTAGCGCAGTGGTTAGCACACACGACCCATGTATGGAGGCCTTAGCATGTCCCTCCCCTTCTCTTATACCCCCTTTCCTGTCAGCTGCTGTCCAAAAAACAAGCCACTAGTGCCTTAAACCCCCCTAAAAAGAAATTTAGCCGTAAACCAGGCATGGGCAATTGAATTTCCTGAGGGCCAGTGTTCTGTTAGACCAGCGTACCCATAGTCAATACCTGTTTATTCTTTTAGTTTTTTATGAAAAATATACTTCAAAATACCTCAACAGGCGTGTATCCTTTTAGTCATGTACAAAAAAAACAATTTAATTATTTACTTTTTTGGTGTTTTTGGAAGCATATGGAGGTCTGACCTTAAATTGTTTTCTATATATGGGTGATACAGTTTGTCCAAGTGCAGTTGCCATATAATGACATCATAACAAGGGGCGGGGCCACGAGCAGATCTGGTACCTACACTGGAAGATGGCAGGAGGGAGGTGTTAATATATTTGGCCAAAAATGGTCGCTCCCAGACTCAATATAAAATTATTTTTATTTTTTTACTGATTAAAGCTTAATTCATTAGATCACTGCAAACGTACTCGTTTTAGGTATAATTAATGATCCAGTGGTTGTTCCTTGCTGACTTGACTTTTCCTTTAAACAGACAGTAATTCTGCTAAAACTCAAATTTAAATTTTTTATTTTCACTGAGAAAACACCACAGCTGAAGGAAGCGGAGGAGCTTTTATGTTTTGCAGGACGTTTTTCTCCCTGTTTGATTAATTTTAGCATGTTGTTTCTTAACCAAAGTTAGATTTAAACCAGCAACATCCAGAATGCTCAAAAGCCCTTTTTCACAATCAATAATTAGAGAGCGGATTGTATTACAAGTTAGGATAAAAATGTTGTGCTCCCTTTTCCTTCCTGGAAGGGAGCACCTTATATAAGCTGCTTTCATGGTTGCACTAACACGCTGGTCCTGGAGCCCACTGGTACTGAGGTAATCAGAACTTGGAGCCAATATGAAAGAAGCAACATGAGGGAAGGGCAGGCAGCTCCCACACTGGGAGAAGAGGTTTTCTGACAGGGAGATGCTGGTTTCTGCTCTCCTTCACAGCAGAACTTGGATGAAGATTAAGGGCTTACTTCCAGGGTACCAAGAACCAAATCAGACCCGGCATAATTCTGCTGAAAGCTACAGAATCTATGAAGGATCCTGATCAATCTGATCGAGGAGGAAATGAAAACTGTTAAAAGTTTCTCTGTCTAAATTTTAGCCCATTTTTTATTAACTCCTGTGTTGTTGTTTTTTTGTATTAACCATACATGGAAACAGAGTTTTATGGTTCAGTTCAGCACAAAGGAAGAGAAATGATTATGCCGACCTGAATATCTGCAAAGGGGATATACCATTAGGCAACGCTAGTTAGCTCCCTAGGGCCCGATGGGGGGCCCCATAAAACTCTGTTTCCATGTATGGTTAATACAACTATTCCTTATTTGTTAACATTGATTATGTTTTTGATAAAAATCCTTTCACTAAAATGCCATCAGAACACTGATAATATTAAGT